ATTTCAGAGATCATGACACCAACAGTTCAGCTGGTTAGTGAATGAAATTGGGGTACTATTTTACAGTTACTGTAGACTCACATGTTGCCAGGAAAACAGGTTTTATTACAGGTTGTAGCTCTATATTCTACAGTTACTGCAGACTCACATGTTGGAGTTAGTAGTATAAATAAATTTTCTACTTCTATTGGTTATAAATAATGTAATAGCAAATATCAGAGAAAACTTAATGAATTTTTTAAAAGTTTGTATGTGATAGGAGGGCATGGCATATGGGTTGGATTTTCTAGTGTATGTCTAAGTAAAACAAGATGATTGAAGACTAAAGATATATTATGTTTTAGCAATATCTATAATATTAATAGAGACTTGCTTTCCAAGCTGTCATTCTGTATCTTCATCAACTATAGCATGAGTTGATGACATTTTATCCATTGCACCTTGCTGTGATGGTGATGGATGAACCTTATTGTCAGATTCTACCTGACGCTGGCTGTCAGTCTGGTTTTCAAAACCAAACAGGATTCATGGGTCAGATGCCTGCTCATTTGCATGAGAAGCACCAATATTTCACAGCTTTGTCTGGGCAGAAACTAGTAACATTGCAACCATATGTGGACAACAACATAAAATATCTCAGTTTTAAGAAATGTGTGATAGTTTGTGATTACTTTGCTCATGTGGGAAAAATACTCTCTCACAGATGTTTGTTGAAGGTCTGTGGGTAAGGAGTAAATTCACTAGTTTCTTGTGCAACAGATCTGTATACAAGTGATGAAGTTTCTATCCTGTATGAGCAGCCAACCAGATTTTGAAATCAGTCCATTCCTCTGGGATTAGGTCAAACCTTTCCTCTGTCAGAACATTTTTCAAAGCACTTCACTAGTTCATCAGTCTTGTCCTAACCATAGGCAGGTAGCTAGGTTCTCATGGTCACATGGCATCAGAAACATGTCAAACATGCTAAAGCAAGACAGGAGCCTTTGGAAGAAGATCAGGAATTTCTCATTGTGTTGTCAATTACTTTAGTGAAGTCTGACATTCATGGTGTAGCATCTACTTTACTGTCAGGAATATCCTCAGAGACTTGTCAAGGTGGGTGTTTATTCGTGGTCAGCTGGATACCTTTTTATATCACCTTACCCTTTGATAATCTGAAACACAAATTACCGTAACTTCAATAAGATTGAAAATTAAATTTGAAAAATATTTTAAAAACATTACTTTCAAAATTAATTTATTAACGAAAAGTTGCTGTGAGAATAGAATGACCTTTAATTATTAATTATTCTTATTCAATAATTAAGAACTTGGATTTAACCAGACTAATTAAAATACCACTCCTCGCTTTCACTTAGTTGGTGTTCAATCCCAGACTACAACATTGAAATGCAATGTGTCTGGTGTGGTTCAACCTCTTTTCATGTGCTACCATTTCTCCCTTGCAGTAGCCATCACTCAGTTTTGAGTTAGCCTCTTTCTGTACTACTTATCACAGGTACCTGTTCATCTTCTTCTCTGACCACCCCAAACTTTGGGTGGTTTGTTTTATATTCATCCTCCCATTCCTTTCTTCCCTGTATGGTAATTTTGATGCAGCTTATGACATTTATTTTGTACAGTCTTTTTATTATTATTTTATTTGTACTACTACTTTTTATGGCACTTACCAATGTCTTTTCTTGCCGTGGGATTCCCCTTCCTTTAATTACTTTTCTCTTCTCACTTTGCCCAGTTGGGTTATACATCTCCGGCATAGTTTCTTCTTCTATTGATGTTGATCCTATTCTTATTTTTCATGTCTCCTCACACCATTTTTGTCATCCCACATCATCTCTTGCCTCTAGCCATCAATTTCCTCTATATCAAATCTCACAGGTGGGTGTGTAGAAAAACCCCAACACACTAGTGTGGAAAGTGTTAAGACCATCTGTTCTTGCTTGGTGCTCACTGTTGAAGTGGAGTTTTCCGTAAGACTGGTTTGGTGGTGTGTATATGTATCTTCCAGACTGTTCTGTACTTGCTCACAACTGCTATCTGTAGTTGTAGTAAACCATTGTACTGTCTCTCAATGTAAAACCTAATTCCAGATGATTGTGCCTGGTGAAGATGTTCCACACACCTCTCCAGTATTCTAGCCCATTTCTTTTAGTGGAGTACAAGGAAACCCTGGCTTCTTCAGTTTCATGCCTCTGGGGAAGTTGATATGGAGAGTTCCTCATTGGGTGAGGACAATTCCACTGGTAAGAGACCAAATGGATTCACGTGTCGTTTCTGAAGTATGACTGGGGTGTTACCTGGTAGTGTGGTACAGGATACCCCACTATGTTATAAACCAAGTCATTTCCAGTGGTTAGATCCAACTGGATGGGTCTTGGGTTCATCCCAGGACACAGGTATGGGATGTTCCTCCCTGCACCTGATATTTGTGGTGAGTATCTCATGTAAATATTTCTTCAGTATGGATTGACCTGACTTATTGCCCTAGCTACACTACATGCTCATGCTCAGCTGTCTGTCTGTGAAGTAATAAATGGTTGAGCTATCTGCCATTCCAGCAACTTTAGCGACACATTAGCATCAAGTAATATATTCTTATGACAGTATGATCTCTGTTGGGTAAAGTGTATTCCCTGCTTAAGTTGGACACAGTGATTCAAATGCTGCCCCACTAGGCTACCTCCCCCCACACCTCATGAATGTCACGCTTTATACCTTCCTTTTCTGATGCTGTTTTCAGGAAGGAGCTCATCTTTGTAATTTATCTACTTCTTTGTGGTGCAGAGAGGTAAGTAGTAATTCTGTAGTTAACATTTTACTTACCTGAAAATGTATTTCAGATAGACACTCACCTTTCTGCACCACCTCCCACCCCTTCCTCCCTATTTCTGGTGTATTTAATTTGCCTCAGCTACTTCTAGTTCTTATGGGGATTACTGTGCATGGATGATGTGTCACTCTCCTATTGGCTATAGTCTAATGACATCATAGGCTGGCACAGTACATATTGACATATGTAGGGTGGGAGCTTTGTTTAAGGCTTGTACTATGTGGAGAAAATTACACGGTAGTATGCGTAAGGTAATAGCTCTTTCTGGTGCAGAGAGGTTTGTATTTATCTGAAATAGATTTTAACTTCTAGAATGAGCTCTGGTGTATAAACATGTGAGGCTCTGCCCAGCTAAACCTTTATAATCATCTATATATCTGCAAGTGTCACTGTTGGGAAAAACTTTACTATTGTCTTTCCTGATAGGGGTTGTAATGTATGAAAACTCTATTCCAAATAAATACAGATATTCAACTTACAGGCTGAAGTTATCTTCCATTGGAATTCCCAGTATCTGTTGGAAGACATGTTGGCCAAAATGCACAAATGTATTATCAAGTAAAAACACATGGCCTGCAAGAATTCGTTTAATGTGAAAAAGTGGTAATTTTTGTGAGTGATGTTATCATAGAAATTTCTGTGTTTACTGATGCAGAGTAGTAATTTACCCTAATTATTAAATTACCTTGAAAATGTTGATAAAAGAATTTAATTTTACAGTAGAAAAGACTAGCGTAAATATTACTGAAATCAAATACTCTGCTCCCTCTTGCCTCATAAATCATTTAGCCACTTGGCTAATGCAATGAAATCTTCATTAGCAACACACATATTTGATTAGCCACTCCACTTAAAGTAGTAAACTTATGTTAGTGTGTATATTGAAGCTATTGAATGTATTATATTTGAGGTGCTACAGTAGTACAATGAAGCTAAGAATGATAAGTTTGAGGCATCTGTTATCAAAACAACCATATCATCAACATTTGTACTACATAATATATATATATATATATTGGTTTGATATCTTTTGACTTTTGTTTTCTTGGATCCTGGGACGCCATCTTTACAGAACTCAGATTTGATCTAAGTAAGGCTATTTCTGATTGGATAAAATTACCCCTTCAATGTTTCAAGAAAAAGTTTCTGTGTAAGAAATAGATAACCTTAGGCGTGTGCAGGATGCCTATTCTACACTGGTAATGCAGTATAAACATACGGTAAAGATGAACGGGAGATTAAACCATAAGAATATTAAAATCTGTTGACAATTCAGTGGGTAGTTTTAGTATTATATATTTATTTGTGTGGGTGAATTTCTATTCTCAATGAAGACGACAAACAACTTCAGACAAAAGTTAATTTATTCATCCCGGCATTTCGACTTGCACCTTTTTCAAGGGTCAATGAATGTCACAGGTTCCAAACTGATTTTACATTAGAGTAACCAAAATAAAACAAAGGTTTTAACTGATTTATCTATGGAAATGAGGATATGCTAGTAACCTGAATGATCAGTGACTTCTTTAAACCCAGAACACGTTCAGTGTTGCTGGTAGTGAATTCCTTTAAGTACATTATGCATTTATTGTTTTTAACTGCATTTACCCAGTTTCTAAATAGGATTAATTTTGCATTCACCTTTTTTTACTCCACTTATGTAAAACTTTACTGAGTGATGTAATAATGACTTTTTTAGTGTGTTTCAAATTAATTTTTGGACATTCATTAGCAGCTGTAAATCTGTTGGTCACAATATTGAGGTTATAGGTGAGCACATGTTTGACTGGAGAGTAAACGTAAAGGGATGAACTACATTTTGTAGGATAGAATGTATGACTCTTTGTTGATTATGTTACCTAACAAGCTGTTGTAATTAAAGATTTTACTGTCAATTGCCATCTTGGAAGAATAAGCTAATAATTGGGTATTTAATCTTGCAAGTGTTAGGTAATAAATATTATATAGAAGTGTCTCTGACTGTAGATTCTAATTTAATAAGCTCTATACTTCTGTCAGTAAATTGGATTGTAAGGTAAACCTTATGTTCATTAGCTGCTGTTGGTTTAGGTTTAAGTGATCAGAAATAACAAATAATTAGTCTACATTGTTCATCAAATGTGATGAAAATCTTTAATCCATGAAAGATATCTCCTCTGTGTATATTTAGGTTCCAGAAATCTCGGGTCAATGAAAACCATGCTACACTGCAGTATTATGAAGTTCAAGTGGAGTTTCTCGAACGTACTAACAGTCAGCTACAACTAGAACTTGCAGACCTCAGAAAAAAGTTAACATGTCAGGAGGTAGACCTTAAGAAAAATATAGAAAAACTTAAAATTGACTTAGGGAGCAAGGTGGACAAGGTTTGTATCCATGTTTTTAATGGTTGTATAGGATCCTGTGTTCAAGATTTATGTATATTTAGTTACATAATGGTACCTACAATATTTTTTTGGATAAGCACTTGCATTGTTGTGAGTTGAAGAGATTTATCAAGTAATGTTGATCACTATCCATTAAGAATAAAATATCTGTATTTGCCTTTCTTCTGCATCATAAGAATTATTATTAATTGTTTTCAGATTTACAATACGACATGTAGAAATATTTGGTTACTGCATTACGTAGTGTAAAACAAATGATAGTAAAAGCTTGTAGCACTTTTATGCCACATTTTATTTCTCTGGAGCGTGTGCATCAGCATGTGGTATATATATATATATATGTACAACAAACATATGAATCTTATAAAAATAATTATAATTTAATTGTTGTTGTATTTTACTTTTTGTAAACTTGCTACTATTTTGAGGTCTGATGTGCTAGTTGGACTGGCAGTTGTTATTTAATTTTTCATTTAGTGATTGATTTTGTTCAGTGATGGCAATGTCAGCTGTCTTCTCGTATATCTTCACATGCCTGATAATAGACACCTGCTTACTTTCACACTTCTTTACTCATCTAAAAAATGAGTTATACGACTAAGTGCACAGTATGTATATAGATTATTTGTTCATTTTTGGTAGAGCTGAACAATTAATGGTATTTGATCATTGATTATACAGTGGCCCCTTAATCCATTCCATTCCATTAATTGATCGTACTGTGTTCTTCTAACCACGATATATACAGTCAAAAAAAAAATATATGTTGTTGGAGGAAGCTGCCAGACAGCTGCCTTTTCTCTAGTCATCAGTTCAGAATTAGTGACGATGACATAAAAACTTAGTAGATTTGCCAGAACGAAGACGTTGAGCAAGTTTGATGGCAATGGATATCAAACCCAAGACCATCAATCACGAGACCCCCCTCCCCCAATTGCCAAAACTGAACGAACTTGAAGTAAAAACAATAATGTATAAGGCTAAAATTTGGCAAAGCAAAGATAGCTCATTACATAGCTTTATGCTCAACAACAAACAAACATATAACAATAATCATATTACTTGGATAATTGAAAATAGTGATAACTGGAAACCAAAATTTCTGTTAGTTGATTATTTTCATGAGAGTCACTTTAATCATAATTTTGATTAATCAATTGTTGGAATATAAAAACAGTAAAAATCAGAAACACTAGTTTTGATTAGGTAATTATTTTTGGGACAGATGATTTAATCATAATTTTGAATAGTTTTTCTGATACTAATCAATGTTATAGCTGCTCATAGATAATCAATCAAATCACATAGCTCTAATTTTCACTAGGTCACCTAAGTTACAAATTATTGTCTGATGCTGCAATATCCTTTAAATTTAAAAAAACAAAATAGCTTTATTTATGATGATTCATATATTCAATAGTTTGTGTTCTTTATAACGTGTTATAGAGCTTACTGTTATCTTTTTTTAATTTGAGACTATATTAAGAATTGAAATATAAAGTACAATTATCATAAATTAAAACAAACCAAAATAGCTTTATTTCTGATGATTCATATATTCAGTAGTTTGTGTTCTATATAAAGTATTATGTACTTTAGCTGTTTGGGTGATTAGGGATTAGGACTACAATATATTCAATCTTTTTAATCTGATGAAAACACAAAAAAATTGTGATTTTAGCCAACTCACTAACCAATTAAAACCTCATGAAACTTTGGCAGGAACTTTATTTGAATAATGTGATAAGTGACTCTATTATTATACCACATAGCTTATGTAACTTAGAGTTTTGATATTTTAATGGAAAAAGAATTGTACTACATGGTTCCTTAATATTTTAAAACATTTCAGTTGACCAAACAACTAGAAGTTGCCCAAAAGGACAAAGAAAATATGGTAGTACGATATGCACAGAGTGAAAGAGAAGTGCTAGTAGCTAAGAAAACTCGGGATGACTTGGAGAAAAAACTGCGAGAAATAGGAAGGGAAAAGGAAAATCTTCAGAACAGAATCAAGGGATTGAATACTGAGAAAGCACGCCTCTCAGGACTTCTTGATAGAAAGGTGAATGAGTAGATATTTCATTGTAGTATCAGGCCTGAAATACAGCACAGGTGATTTATAAGAAGAAGAAAATGGTCAAATAAGATTTTTTAATGATTGATGAAAGTGAGTAAACTGAATTTTATCACGAAGTTCTTTGTCCAAAAAGCTTTGAACTGCTACCTTATACATGTTTTCTGGATTACTGCTATCTCATTAGTACAATTAAAAAGTACTATAGTGGATCCACATGAAAAAATTGTTTTAAATAATAATAATACGTCATCAGTTAATACAATGATAGCAAGATACAATACACAGAAGTACAATGATGAGATGTGTAATTTTTTTGAACAGTATTGTATACTTATCGGGACAAGCTGATTTGGAAAAGTGAAGCTGAAAGCTTATTCAGTACATAAAGAACATGACGATAAAGAAATATTTAATTTCATTATTAATGTCTGTTGTGAATTTTGATAGGATTTAGGAAAATGTCCAGTGCTGTTATGAAATGAAAATAAGTGTGTAATGTTTAATTCTGACCAGTCATCCCTCAATTCTCCTTATGTTTGGAAATGGCTTGAATGGGTAGTGAAGGAAACTTTATTACAAATGTACAACATTTCTTTCTTTACCCATTCAAGCCATCTCCAAACTTTATTTTTTAAAAAGTGTTCCTTGTCATCAAATTCACCTTGGTGTTTATATGTTGGAACCAATATAGCAATCACCCACACCCAAGTAGAGGTTGTATTGTTTATAACACTTTATAGCTAGTGAGTGAACTCGTGTATTAATATTGGATATAATTTATCATTAGCATTATTTATCTCTGCTGAGTGTAGCTAAATATTGAAAATATTTGATTTTTTGTGTTTACTGCTACAAAGTTTTTTATATAAATCATTAAGTGTGTATCGAAAATGAAAAAAAAAAACTATAAAGACCATTCAAAAGTTTCAAAACTCTACAAAATAATAGATTTTTGATGTTATTTGAGTAAGTAACAGAGAAAGGGCTAGAAAAGAGGTACCAATATACATGTGTAGTGTTTCCACTTATGGTCACAGTCTGCATATATTGGCAAATCACCAATGTTGAGGCAGTCATAAGGTTGCTATTTTGTTTGTTTTAATCCATCAGTTATCTCGTGTAAATGAAATAAATTGATAGTCAAATGTTTTACTATAACTGATAATGGTAATAATATTTTTATTTAAAACATATCATAATTGCAATTAGAAATAATTAAGTAGCTTGTCAACTAGTTTATTTATGTGTGTTTTTTGTGTAGGATAAACATAAAGATAATATTCAATAAATAAGGATTTGAATTATCAAAACAATTTGCCATTGCCTACCTTACTTCCTGAACTTAACTAAACCTATTTGATACCTTTTTATTGAAGAAATTTCTTTAGCTTTGAAACAGATATAACATAAATGAAAACAATATCTAAAAGATCTATAAAACATTCATAGCTCTGTGATTTATTCCTAAATATTCAAAACTTCTTGGTGTATGTATGCCTTTGGTTAATGCTAGAGGAGCTCTGATTACCAAGAAGTTCCCACGAAACCATAAGCTACTGCTCAAACCATTTTATTTACTCTGCTATGACATTAAAATCCCAGTTCTTGCTCTATCTGATTATATTTAAACTTTCTTTGTTTCATTAATAAATATGACATGATGTCTTTTTTGTGACATCGTACATGGGTGACAACTAAGGTGTGTACTAAAACTAAGCAGAAAAACACATGGGTAATGCTCCAAGATCAAGAAATGGATGATGTGTTCTCTAGAAGTAATGTTTCCTAGCAAATGTAAAATTGTTCTTGGGAATTTGCAGGAAAAATTCTAAAAAAGTGACAAGTGAAAAATGAAAAAAATATATATATACATTAAATGAAACAGGTCAAGTTATGTCTAGTTAACATAACAATTCATCAACATGTAAAAATTGACTTACAAATTTGTGGCTTAAAAAAAGATTGAAAGTGATAAAAGAAAAACATTTGGTGAAAGTGATGGTACATAAACATGAAAAACCAGAGTAAACCCTGTTGTAAAGTAATTTTAAAATAGATATGTAAGTGTGAGAAAGAGATTAGTGGTGGGTATGAGAGGACTCTCGGGAAAACCTTGTCCCACTACATTTCAGACTCTTGATATGTCACTCTTCTTAAGCTCTGATCTTAAACTGCAGATTGAGTATTTTTGGAAAGGTTTGTCTTAAACAGCTAAAAATCAGCAGCCATCATGACTTAGCAAGCTAGTTCATAAGTAGTCCCATGACTTCTGCTGTAATCAATAATTATATAATTGTAAAATATCAGCAGCCATCATGACACGGCAAATGAATTCATAAGTAGTCCCATGACTTCTGCTGTAATCAATAATCATATAACTGTAAAATGTTAGCAGCCATCATGACTTGGCAAACTAATTCATAAGTAGTCCCATGACTTTTGCAGTAATTAATAATTATATAATTGTAAAATATCAGCAGCCATCATGACACGGCAAATGAATTCATAAGTAGTCCCATGACTTCTGCTGTAATCAATAATTATATAACTGTAAAATGTTAGCAGCCATCATGACTTGGCAAACTAATTCATAAGTAATCTAATGACTTTTGCCGTAATTGATAGAATATACAAGCTATATAATTATAAAATTAAGATCACTAAGGAATATTTTAAACTAAATATGTTTGTATTTGTATATTAAAAGTTTATAATTGAGTATATTCAATATAAATAACAGATACAAAATTCTGCTATGTAGATATGGTTGAAATAATTAACTACCATGTTTTATCTGTACACTTGATGATTTTTTAAAATGTTTTATTAGACTGTTAGTAAGTGTTATTCTTGGCACACTTTTTTCCTAGGTTGGAGATTGTAACTCTCTTTTGAAGGAGTATGAACGACTAAAAGAAGACCTCAGTTCAAAAGACATTAAGATCAAATGGGCACAGAACAGATTGAAGACAGAAATGGATGCCCATAAGGTAACCTTAACTTATTATTTAATACCATTGACCTTTAAGATTTGGCCATTTTTGAATAAATGGATCACACGTAAAGAATCCCAATTTTGAAGTACATTAACTAATTTATGTTTCTGTACCCGTAGAAACAAAAAAATTCTTAAATATTTTTCTGCCAAGTTTAATATGACAATCTAAGTTTGTAGATTTTTTTTACCTAAACCAAAATGTTTCATATTTGAATTTTTAAGGATTCTTTTTTAACCTTAGAATTACCATTTTTTTTCTCTCATTCACTAACTATTAGATTCCATACATTACATCATATTCAGTAATTATCTTTTGCCTGTTACAGTAATTGTTTAAGAACTTGCCAAACAAATCATATGAAATAACTAATCTTCTAGTTAAAATATACAGGGTCCCCAGAAGTAATTAGTGGGTTTATAGCATTTGCAATATTGATGTTATCTTTGTGTGTGTGTCAGATGAAAGTTATTAGAGACCCGTGTAACCAACAACATCATGCATCCACAAGCAATTTGGTGTGTAAATAGTTTTAAAAATGTGTTGAAAAGCCTATTAGAGACCGTGTAACCAACAACATTATGCATCCACAAGCAATTTGGTGTGTAAATAGTTTTAAAAATGTGTTGAAAAGCCTATTAGAGACCGTGTAACCAACAACATCATGCATCCACAAGCAATTTGGTGTGTAAATAGTTTTTAAAAATGTGTTGAAAAGCCTTTTATACATAGACCCCAATGGTAGTTCTAGGGTTAATCATCTGTTCTCTAAATCATTTTCTCGTTCAGTCCAAATTGACTAGGGGAAGGTTTTTAAGATCATGTTCTGTCTGGAGGTTAGGGCATGCTAACCCTTCAGCTGAGGGGAAGTTATAATGTGATGGTAAATCCCACTATTCATTGGTAAAAGAGCGGCCCAAGAGTTAGTGGTGGGTGGTGTTGACTAGCTGCATTCCCTATAAAGTAGGGATGGCTAGCATGGATATCCCTGATGTAGCTTTTCATGAAATTCCAAACAAACTAAATCTGTCTGGTAGTAATATGATTGATTTGACAAGATTTGTTCATAAAGTTATATTCTAGCATTTTCTGCAGCCGGTCCATGCATATTTTGGTACCATTTATGATTTGTTTATATTTAAAATAATGTTTTTAGTGTGATTAGCATAAAAACAAAGATTTTGAGACTTTTGTTTTGGCACTTAACCTTTTAAGCACTAAAAGAGTTTCATCAGCTGTTTGTTTAATGAAATGCCTTGTTAAAAATAAATATCAAACTATTTATAGTTTCATAGTTTCTGAGATTTTGTGGCAAGTGATTTATTTTTGATTTATTTTTTGTTACAAGTTTTAGACCTTGTGATGTCAAAGTGAGTTACTGAATTAGTCAGAAAAATTCACATGACTGTTATTTTGGAAGGTTACTTTAAGGTTTTTGTCAAGTATATTTTCTATAGATGATTGGGAAGGAGATTAAAGGTACCATTCTTTGATGATGCCAATTTATTTGATGTACAGGAAACTCGTGCAAAGTTGGATCAGACGTTACAAAGGCTGCAAGAAACAAGAGAGGAAGCAGAGCAGATACGTAAAGATTGCCAAGAGATGATTGGACGCTATCAGGCAGCAGAGGAAATCAAGTCTGTATCACTGGACAATGAACTGAAAGCCAAAGTTAGTGAGTTAGAAGCGCAGCGTCAAGAAAAGTTTGATCAGCAAGAAGTAGGTTTTATGAGGGCATGAAAATGTTCTCTTAGCAGTCAATTTTACCTTGCAAGAGGAAAAAAAAACGTTTTTAAAAGTTGTCGTACTTGAGAATGAAGTTTGTCTTACATTTTCTACTTTAATATATATATATAATTTCTGATTCAAGTTCAGTTTTGGTTTAAGAAAACATGACGATCAGCAGTTTGTGAAACTTGTTTATCATTGACACCACTTTAATATATATATATAATGTCTGATTCAAGTTCAGTTTTGGTTTAAGAAAACATGACGATCAGCAGTTTGTGAAACTTGTTTATCATTGACACCATTTATAATGACAAATTAAATTGGTAACTGGAACACAATTGTTAAAACACAATCTGCCACCAGATATGGGTGGTGCTTATAAAAATTGGCACTTTAGTTTGAAGCTACAGGTAGCCTAAGGTATTTGTCTTTTGTTACATATCTTGAAAATCTTGCTTTTGAAAAGAACTGTATTGCAGATGTTGACTATTTTTTATAGCATCTATTAGGTCATCAAGAAATTAATGTTGCATTTTGGAACTCTTTCATTAACCGCCCCTCAAAAGATGTACATCACTTATAATACTTAAACGAACTGCTTAAATGTCACATTAGTGTAGCCTAAATAATGTATAATAAGGGATGGCACATGACAAGACACACAATCGGCATGTAATGCTGTTTGAATACAAGGGAAACATCGCCTCTGTAGCCACAAAGAATATCAAAGAAGTTTATGGAAATGTTTTGAACGTTCGTAAGTGCCTCACGAACTCTCCTATGATCATTGTTTTCAACGTGTGAATGTTGCTTCGTCTCTTCTGCCACATAATACGTGTGAACCATTTTTGGACAGAATTGTCACCGGTGATGAAAAATGGATTTTCTGTGCAAATATTAAAATGCCAAAAACAATGGCTCAGTCCTAGACAAAAAACACATCCGACCCTAAAACCTGGACTCCATCTGCAGGAAGTGATGCTTTGTACTTTGGTGGGACATCAAAAGAGTAATTCATTTGGAACACTTAAATCAAGCCCTCCATCAGAAACTCCCTTCACTCGTCAATCGGAAAGGTATTGTTCTTCTCCGCAACAATGTACGTCCACATGTGGCACGTTTGACGCAACACAATATTATGGAGTTGGTTTGGGAAGTTCTCCCCCACCCACCGATATTCTCCAGATATGGCACTATCAGATTACCGTCTTTTTCATTCTCTGCAACACCATCTTTATGGGAAAACATATGCAAATATGGAAGGTGTTAAAGAAGACATTGACATGTTTTTTTGCTTCAAAGCCAAGTGATTTCTTTAATCAGGGCATTAACAAC